AAACGTGATGAGGAGTCCTGTGGCACCTTACAGACTAACAGATGTACTGAAAGCTTATGCTCCATGGGCAAAGACACAATTCGTCAGATGCATGTGACGAAGTGGGTCTTTGCCCATGAAAGCTCATGCTCCAATACATCTGTTAGTCTACAAGGTGCTACAGGACTCCTTGTCCCCCTTAAAAGCTGGCTACCCAGGTGAGAAGGGAAGGCAGGGGTGCAGCGGCTCTGCCTTTTAAATGTTGTAAGAGCTGCCTGGCTCTTACTACATTCAAAGGCAGAGAGGCAGCGGTCCGGCCCCGGCATGAGCCCGCCTGAAGCAATCCCGGCTCCCCCCTCTGCAGTTTACATGTAGTAGGAGCTGGGCTGCCTGCACACCTGGCTCCTACTACCTGTAAAATGCAGAGCTGCTGCAGCTCATGGACTAATTGTGTACTCGATACAAATAATTAGTCATTTCCTCAATACTTAGCATCTGTACTTGTAACATCCTTATCCTCAATACTGAATGACTTATTAAAATAAGGCTAAGCCAGTGTCCCTCACCCAGTGGTACCAGTACCCTTAGGGATACTTGGGAGAAGTCCAGGGGGTACAACAACACAACTGAAATTTGGAGAAAACTGAATTTTTGTTTTAAGTTTTACAGCGCTTTCCTATTTTTGTACTTTTTACACCCAAAAATTTCATCACCTGCCTGGCTATGATTAAGTTGTTTAAACAAATGTGTTGCAACGGTAGAAAAAACATTGTGTCTGAAAACTGTAGGTACTGGGGGTATTTTTTTTTGTTGAAAAAAAGGGGGTACTTTATAAAAAAAAAAGGTTGAGAAACACTGGGCTAGTAGGCTCCTAAGGAAAGAGAATATTGCCCATTTTTGCTCCTTAATGTAAGTATTTTTTAGAGACTTGAAAGCCACACGCACCCACCATTTCAAAGTCACATACAACTGGTTTAAATTCAAAAGAGACTGCGATAGCACCACAAATAGAGGGAGAAATCTGCCATGAGGTCTTTGGTGATCTCCCTGGATGCCTAATGGCATGCATTTGAATTGCGGGCTTAACTACTGGGGGGAGGGGAGGTTTCTTCTGCTTTCTCAACCTAAGTCAGCTGTTAGCTACCATTTTGAACCTTTACTAAAAGGCTGCCATCGGGATTTCTACAGCGTTAGAACGGGTAGTTCACACAACTGCTGATCTTTACCAAGACCTCATTTAGAAATCTCCATTACAACTACAATAGCTTTCTGGGGTACAAAGCAAAAATCACCTATGGCAATAACACTAACTGCTCTTTGAACGTACGCCAAAAGGGAGAATCTGAGTCATTTCCCCCTTTCAGCATGACATAAGCTGGCTCAAGCTTTTCCTCAGAAGAATGTACTACTCTGAGGATGGAATTGTACTCTTTAAAGCATCTATTAAATGTTAACCTCAGTTTTAAGGACAAAGTGTCAAAGCCTACAAGTGTTATTTCCCAGATATTCTGTTAAAATGTAATTAACTGGCCAATGGGTATTGGCAGCCATAGGACTATGTACGTCAATTCAAAATCTGAAAAACGGAAATTCCAAATAGAGAATTCGGCAGTGCTACTGGAGAACTCAAATATGTCCCTCATTAGCAAATCCACAGAGCCAGGACTTGCCCTTTAGTTTGAATGTTGACAACTTGGTGGCAGATCAAGTTTACTGGGTAGGGATCACACTTACCTATCTGTCTCTGATTTGCAATAACCCTGAGATCCTTCCTAGAATACAAGAAAGTGTCTTTATATCTCAAGAACAGACGGGGACATAGGGAAGGAAGATCTACTTAATAGGAATAAACTAATGTCCACTGAGCAGTTAAAGAAATAACCAAACTGCCAATTTAAAATATTTAAGAGCAAAGACTAGTCCCTTGCTCTGCAATAATGTAAACTAAAGTTACTGTCTTAAGAATTCTCCCCCTCACACATCTGTATGGTCACTGCTGCCAGATATTGGCACGCATGCCAAACCTCAGGGACTATAGTGGTGTGCCATATTTATCACTGAGGATGATGTGGGGTCTTGTTTCCCCAGCAATAAAGCCAAATGGGAAATACCAGTTCCCAGACTACATCACTCAAATTTTAGTAGAGAAGAAAAATGGTCCAAAGCAAGTATGAATTAGGAAATCAAGTCTGCAAGTGCTTTATTTAATCTGTCTCCTCTACATGCTGGCAATAGGCAGAGGGTGATTCACCTTAGCTGCATCTTCTTTTCCTACTGGAATCTCTCTCCTTCAGAGAATCAGACAATAAAAAGTCCAACTTGGTTCTAAAGTGTCGTCTATAATCCACCTTTATGACTTCTTTAAAAGGGAACCATCACTGCTGCCTTTTCCTTGAAGACACTGTGCACACCTAAGGAAAAACCTTCTAGAAAATGGGCAGAGCTTTTTTAAAAAAAAATTAAAATATTTTCAACGTCAATGAAAGTCCCACAGAACAACTTGCATTTCGTTTACTTTAGCACAAATGGTCCTTCTGGGCTACCTACCCTAATTTACTTTTGATAGTCTCTAAGGTGCCACAGAACTACCCGTTTTTAGAGTTACAGAGTAATTCCCCCTCAGGCTTTTTAACCTACTTTAGTAACTACTTGTATAAGTCAACGTACAGGAAGAAATGTGCTTTTGTCCTTACCTCACTTTGTTTCCTTCACAGCTCAAAGATGCTCCTAGGAAATTCTACTTTCTATTGTCTGACATCAAACTTTCAGATTAGTATTTTAAAACCTATCCTCGTATTTAAGGATAAATTGGTCCCTCAGAAGTGACTCTACCTTCAATTGTAATTAGTAAAGGTAATGGGACATGCTTAGATACTGCAAGGCACTATTTCAATTATTCCCAGGCAGTTTCAAGTTTGCTGTTCAACTCAGATCTTCTAACATGCCCCGACTGCACCCTAACACTACTGCATAGGCTACTCTCCTAAATTCAGCTTGATTTCTTCTGCTCTTAACTTTCTATAGATGACTTCCTGAACTGTTGGTTGGATGATTTCCAGGACTCATTCAATACTGGTGACAGCTGAAAATCATCAAGTGGCATCATACACTCATCAAGTGGCCAACACCAAAGAATTTTTCACCAAAAGCAGAAATCCATTTGTATAGATGAAAAGACTGTGCCAGCATCAACTTTTCCCAAAGCAGCTTTTGCTTCTGCCACCTCTCTCTCGCACAGTGGTGAACAGTCCTTCCACCCACATGAGATTGGCCATGTTCTGCAGGTCATTTTTTCCTTCGTAAGCGCCTCTAAGCAGCAGCTTTGAGAAACATATTGTCAATTCAGTCACTCCACTGTAGATCTAAGAGTTGCCATTAATAGGATTCAGAGGGATAGTTGAGTTTTTGTGTTTTTTCCAGTTATAGACTAACAGTCTTGCAGCACCTTCGAGACTAACAAAACATGTAGATGGCATCATGAGTTTTCGTGGGTGCAACCCACTTCTTCAGATGAACCCTTTAATAACCCCATTCATCTGAAGTGGCTGTGCCCACAAAAGCTCATGATGCCATCTACATGTTTTGCTAGTCTCTAAGGTGCTGCAAGTCTGCTGCTGTTGATTAAGTTTTTCCATTAATATGATCTCATCCCACTGAAAGACATGGTTTTAAACAGCCTGTTGCCATACTACTGCATGCCATGCACTCAAATTTCAGCCAAAAGTGATGAAAAGGCCAAATTATATTAAAACAAATGACTGCAACAACTCCACCTATTAGTAGCCCCATGTGTCCAGTGACTAGTCAAAGTAGCCCTCATGTAGCTGTTTTTCATAATACAACAGAAACTCATTAATTTGTACTTTGCTAATTTGCAATTCTTTGTTTTCAGACAATTAAGGTTTCACATTAAGACATTGTAGTGAGGTTTCACATTAAGACATTGTTTTACTTTTAAAACATGCTCAATACATTGCACAGTATCTAATTCTACACTTAAATGAAAAGATATTTTGCAATGCATTCGCCTTGGTTGTAACACTGTATTTATTGCTCACTTGTGGTTTTACAGAAGTGAGAAATCCACAATACTTCTCCTAGTGCCCAGCACAAATGATGTTCTCTCAGATGTACCGTCACAGAAGACCAGAATCGCCTCTCTGAGAAATGTCTCTAGACAGAGCTGCTGCTGCAGCTGTGTTGGTCCCAGGATAGCAGAAAGCAGGTGGGTGATGTAATTTCTTTTACTGAACCAATATTTGTCAGCGAGAAAGAGGCTTCTGAGCTACACCGAGCTCTCTGCACCAACAGACATTGGTTCAATACAAGATATGACCTCGTCCAGCCACAGATTTCAAACAGAAAGCTAGCTAGTACCTAAAGCTAGGCCATCAGCCCAAAGGGCATTAACAGCAGCCATCTTAGGCCTGAACTGGTAGCATTAAGCATATAGCAAGATGCCTGTAGCTATCACAGCACAGGCCATGATTTGACATCTAATCTGTTTCAACAGAGAATTTTTTAGAACTCGCCAACACAATGGAGCTCCAGGTCTTGGATATTCCTCTGAAACACTCTTCCTTGCTGACGTAGCCACTCTTGATAAAACCAAGCACGATGGCCAGGTTCACAATTCTCTACTCCACTGACAGTCTAGTATGTGAAGCCAGATATCCCAATTACTGCAGCCCACCATGGAGAGCCTAGTTTTTGGGCCTCAAATCACATTGCTCATTCAAAGCACTGATGAATTAAGAAGGACCCACCCACCCTCGCTAATCTCCTTTTCAGTCAGACTGCAGCCAGCTCCTGAACAGGGTTAGATTAAAGCTTAACCTTTGGATGCTGACAACAGTCACATTTCTTTCGATGACTATTCCATTATTGGCAACGGGACACATCTCAACCGAGAGCAACAAGAAGCTTCTCCTGGGGATACAGGGACATTCAAGACAAGAACATGCAAGGGCTCTGCAATGAGAATACCATGGTATTTATCTACAATGCCAGCAGCTGTTTACCTGTTTGTGAGCGTGGTCATAAGAGTTTATATGGTTGTCAAACTCTTGATGCTTTTGATACTGTTTGTCACAGAGTTCACAGTAAAAGTTTGCTCGGAGGTCTTCCAGGGCCTTGGCAATTGCCTTTTCTTTGTCGACATAATCCTGCAATATTAATGAAAGTCAGTGTTAAGTTCCTGTACAATAATCAGTGATGCTGAACAATTCCTTTAAGGAAAAAAGCCTTCATACAGAAACCTTAACATGATGCTGGTTAAAATATAAACACTGTTTCAGGGCCACTCAATGGTACAACTATGTCCTTTTACAAACTACAATGTACACAAGTGCTGGGAGGACTTGCACTATAATGCAGGGGTTCCCAAACTTTTTGACACGGGGACCAGTAAATCCATTCACAAACTTTTGGAGGACCGGTAACATTCATTTGCATATTTGCATAGTCATTAATCAAATGATGAATATTCGAATAAGTTGTTTCTGGTCCTCCCAAAGCCCCCAGTGCCAGCTTTAGCAAAGCTTTTGATACAATCACCCACAATATTCTTGCCATCAAGTTAAAGAATATGGACTGGCTAAATGGAGTGCAAGACAGACAGAAAGCTGGTTAGACCAGGGTTTCCCAAACTCTTTACTTTTTTTTTTTCCATACTGTTTTTTGCAGTCCAAAAATATAAACACATAAAAAACAAACTGAGAAAATACCAGACATGTGTCTGGTATTTTCTCATTAGGTCCGTTTTATTGTTACTAGATGTATCAGTTTGTAGTTTCGAACTCCCTGGCTGGTAAATGTGCTCAGGCTGCATGAGTGTGTCTACCAGCCAGACAGCTCGCACCTACTCGAGGGGTGTGTGTGTGGGGGGGAGGGTACAGTAGAATCCCTGTGCCGGACTAACTCGTGCTTTGTGGGGGAGGGGAGAAGGGGGTCGAGTCAGTCCCACTCCCTGCAGGCCGATTCATTCCTCCCCCAATATAATTAACTCACAGGTATTCACCTTCCTCCCCCTCCCCCGCTCCCTCTGCTGCGCCTCTGGCCAGCCCCACTTCCCCCAACCCCCTCCTGGACAGCCAGTTCTCCCCCCACTTCTCCTTCCAATCTCCCTTGGCCAGCCCCGCTGCCCATGTCCAGCCCTGCTTCCGGCAGCTGCTTCTTCCCGCCCCCCATCTTCCCCAGCCAGCTCCCTGACCCCAATCCCCCGCCCCCCCGTAGCCCTGCTTCTGCCAGCCCCCCAATCTCTCCCGGCCAGCCCTGATGGCCCAGGCAAGCCCTGCTTCCAGCAGCAGCTTCTCCTCCTCCTGATCTCCCGGCCAGCCCTGCTTCCGCCCCCCACAAATCTCCAAAGCCTGCCCTGATTCCCCTGTCCAGTGCTGCTTCCGGTGGCCGGCTCTCCCCTCCTCCTCTTCCCCCGACTTCCCCTAGCTACGCCTCTGCCGGGAGCTGGAACATCGGGCTGCAGGTTATGCCCAGGATGGCCAAGGGCTTGACGGACCCGGTGCCACACGGGCACACTGGGAGCCTGGAACACCCCAGTAGCCGGCAACCATGCTGAGGCCCGGTATTTTTTTCCTGCGGCCCGATACTGGGCCGCAGCCCATAGTTTGGGAAACACTGCTATAATATATTCTCTTTTTAATGTGCCCTTTAATGTTCCACGTCAGCAGGCAGCATTCCAACAGAGTAATGCATTTGTTATAGCAAGCATGGTCCATGCTCACCACTCTACAGAACAGCACCTTCACAGAGAAACTTGCAATGTACAAGAGGAACTAACATTTGTGATTCTGTAGCTGGAGACAGATAGTAAGTAGAGTACTCAAAGTGTTAAGTCCACCTTATGGATGCAAATAAAGTGTGTCAGATGGTCTGAACCCATGAGAAAAGCAATTCAAATTTCCAAGACAATTAATACAAAATTTAAAAAGTGGCAGCTGCTACTTCACATAGAGCTATGCCCAAAATGCAGATTGGACCTTTTTAAATGCCCAGAGATCAACTTTATTGCCATGGAATAGAAAACTCCATGTGCAAGGCCTGACATTTCTCTCCCCACCCCCCCGGGGGAGGAATAGCTGGCGCTTTTCTAGTTCATCTTCCTTACTGAATGACATGCCAGTAAAAACACATGCACCAGCTAAGAAAAGCAATATGGTAACGCCTCCAAGATCACGTGCATCCCTGCTGTATTTCTACCAAATTCAATTCTCTCAGGAAAGAGGCAGCCTGGTAGATTTCGTTAAAGCCAACGTATCTGTGCCTACCACAATGATGGCGGCACAAGGAGGCACACAGAAGTTGGACTTAACAGAACTATGCTCTGCAATCTCTCCTGCAAAATCAGCTGACAAACAAATGCACCTGAATTCAACATTCCAATGGTGGAGGAGATTTTGGGGGGCTGAGTCATCAGTTAGCCCCCTTAGAAAAGAGTTATTTTCTGCATAGTGGTAATGCCAAAAGGCTCTGGGTCTCATTCTCTAGTACAAATCCTAATCCAGCCAAGGACACACACAACACAAACACCATTGTTTATCTCCACAGTGCTCCAGTCCGGATCTGCTGGGTACAGCCTATAAAGGTGACTTTCCTACTACACATAAGTGATCTGGACACCAGTTACTCGATGATTAGCCAAAGTGGCTGCTGTATTTATTGTGAAATGTAGTTCTGAGCTGGACCTGCTATAGGAATTGAAAGGCTGTAACTACCTAAAATCCTGGACCTACCCATCCTTCTTCACAAACCAAATTATTCCAGTTGGCACATTAATAACAATACCAAAACCAAGGATGATTAAGTTTTGTCTTTGGGAGACGAGAAAAACATGTTTATTTCAAGCAAGACTGACTGGAAAATGTTGTACTCCCATCCTGAAGAATAGAAAGCACACTGTAGCAACAGTATTACATTGGATATATTAGAATCCTAGAATTGGAAGGGACCTCGAGAGGTTATTGAGTCCAGCCCCCTGCCTTAAGGGAAGGACCAAGCACTTTGCTAGTTTAGACCATATCTGAAAATGCCTATCCAATCTGCTCTTAAATATCTTCAGTGTTGGAGATTCCACAATTGGCCTAGGCAATTTATTCCAGTGTTTAGTCACCCTGACCATTAGAACACTTTTTCGTAATGTCCAACCAAGGGTTATAAAGTTTAGATTAATTAGCTAATCGAATAGTAGATACGATTTGCATCAACTATTCGATTAATCAATAAGGGCACTTCCAGCCTTTGAAGTGAAGCAATAACCCCAGGGCTGTTACTCCACTTCAAAGGTAAAAGCACTGCAGGGAGCACAGAGCCATCTTTCTTAAAATGTGCTGCCCAGAACTGGACACAACACTCCAACTGAGATAATCAGCGCAGAGTAGAGCGGAAGAATGACTCCTCGTGTCTTGCTCACAACACTCCTGTTAACGCAGCCCAGAATCATGTTTGCTTTTTGTGCAACAGTGCAACCTAGAGCTTGAATCTATCTAGCTCTTTTCTGAACCCTGTTAAAGTCCTAATCTTCACCACATCCTCTGGCAACGAGTTCCGCAGGTTGACTGTGCACTGAGTGGGAAAAAAAACCTTCCGTTTGTTTGTTTGAAACCTGCTGCCTATTAATTTTGTTTGGTGACCCCTAGTTCTTATATTGTGGGAATAAGTGAATAACTTTTCCTTATTCACTTTTTCCACACTCGTTATGATTTTATAGGCCTCTATCCTATCCCCCTTAGTCTCCTCTTTTCTAAACTGAAAAATCCCAGTCTTTTTAATCTCTCTTCATACGGGACCTGTTCCAAACCCCTAGTCACTTCTGTTGTCCTTTTCTGAACCTTTTCCAATGCCAAGATATCTTTTTTGAGATGAGGCGACCACATCTGTATGCAGTAGTCAAGATGTGGGCATACCATGGTTTTATATACAGGCAATAAGATATTCTCTCTCTTATTCTCACACCATTTCTGAGGTAAACAGTGCTTTGACCCAACCTTCAAAGCACTTGCAACTCCTCCCAGCTTGGTATCATCTGCAAACTTTATAAGAGTACTCTGTATGTCATCATCTAAATAGTTGAAGATACTGAACAGAATCCATCCCAAAACAGACCCCTGCGAAACCCCACTTGTTATGCCCTTCCAGCATGATTGTGAACTGTCAATAACTACTCTCTGAGAATATTTATCCAGCCAGGCATGCACCCACCTTATAGTAGCCCCATCTAGGTTGTATTTGTCTAATTTATTGACAAGGTCACGAGAGACCATGTTAAATGCCTTACTAAAGTTTAGGTATATCACGTCCACTACTTCTCCCTTATCCACATGGCTTGAAATTGTATCAAAGAAAGCGATCAGATTGGTTTGACATGATTCGTTCTTTACAAATCCATGCTGCCTGTTACCATGCTGCCTGTGAAAATGCTCTGTAGCATCTTGGAAATGGCATTTGCAAAAAGTTAAATCAGTATGAAATTAAATTCAGGGTCTAATGCAAATTTCTGTACTCAAGAAGCAATGCTTCATACCACCCAAGATTACTATGTGCTAGCATTTCCAAATATTTTAACTGCTTAAAAATACACAAACAAGAAGGTTACTCACCCTCTGCAGTAACTGACATTCTTTGAGGAGTGTCCCTGTGGATGCTCCACCTTAGGTGTTTTGGTGCTGCAGTGCGCCTGGCCGGAAGATTTTACTAGCAGTGGCTTTGACAGCTAGCTCGCACATGCGCAGAAGCGCTACAGGCTCTAGGCGGCTAATGCGCATGCGCGAGATACAGTCACCTCCGTTCCTTCTGTGCCCTGGAAAAGTATGGCAGTAATACCGAAGCAGAGGGGAGGACGGGTGGGTTGTGGAGCACCCACAGGGACACCCATCTCAAAGAAAGTCCGTTACTGCAGAGGGCAAGTAACCCTCTACTACTCTGAGTGTCCCTGCAGGTGTTCCACTTTAGATGACTATAAGCTGTTTATCCACTGGAGGTGGGAGCTTCAGACGGTGTAGTGTCCTTTTGGACCGAGGTAAGGATTGTGTCCCCGAATGCAGTTTCTCTGGACACGTACGAGTCCAGAGCATAATGAGCAGTGAATGTATGAGTGGAGGAACAGGTAGTCAATTTGCATACATCGGACAGGGAGATGCCCTGTACACAGGCT